GACAATGTCACAGGAGAGGAAGGCTCAGACTTTAGTATTTATAGGAATTAGGCAAAGTATCCCAAGGGGAGAAAGGAAAGGATGGGGAAAGGCAAGACAACCTGCCCGCCCCTTCATATTTTCAATGTTCTCTTGTTGTTCCTACCTTTCTTTTATTCATGCTTTCTCTCTCTTTGCATCCTCCTCCCCTTTTTACTCTTCCTCCCTTCAACCGCCACGATTACTAGCCCTGCCCCATCTCTTCTTTTGCCATCTGCTCCATCCCACCACACTCACCAGCAGCATGAGCAGGAGCACAGCCGCCTGCCCCAGCTGCATCAGGAGCCCCCCAGACAACAGCAGGGAAGGCTGAGCTGCCTCTGGCCCCACTGCGTGTAACAGCACCCCGAAACTAGCTTCATGGTGCCTTGACAACGTGTGCCTTCATGCTGGCTGCAGACACTGCACTGCTAGGCTTCGCAGAGGGCAGACTGACATGGGTATTTCAGGATGGAGCTGCAGGTAGTCCCCTAGGTACAAAAGCACTCATCCAACATACTATTAATTATGTCTGCTCAGCTGGCCAGGACAAAACATTATTTTCTGTTAAACCAATAGGGACAGGCTGTGAACACAAGGGACCCTCCTGAGTTTCGGGAACTCTTGATTGCTCTGTGTACATGCATGGTCACGGCTACTCAGAGAGGGGTGAGGCCAGGGAGGGAAAAAGGCAGGAGCATGGGATGGGAAAAGCATTTGAAGAGAGCAGTTACATCTGTTCTTCTTTCTTGGGCTGGATGGCAGGAATTTGTCACCAGAGAAATTGTTTCTCAAGCCTCCAGATGCATTCAAAATAAAGAACAATGGACCACATGATAAGCCTTCTGCAGCCTTCACCACAAAAGAGATGCCGGATGTTTTTTTTTCAGCCCTGACAATGGCTTTCATGCACTTTTGTGTTATGTAAAATTAGGATTTTTACTGCCAGAACAGAGGCATTTCCTGCTGGAGCATACTGAAGTGAGCCTACAAGACCAAAGGGTCCCCAGTTGTTGGTCTCATTTAAAATTTCAGTGAAGCAGTATGGTCCCTGGAAAGCTGCGTATCTTCGAGCATTATCATTGCAGAGACATGTAACAATTACAGCCAAAGCACTTTGTCTGTGCCTAGGAAAACAAGCGAACAGCCAGCCTCTTCCCCTTTGGTCCTGAAAGAAAAAAGACTTCTTTCTTTTTTTTTCTTTTTTTTTTTTTTTTTGGCTTTTTGAATAAGAAGAAATGAAATTCAGAGACATAAAAAGCCAGGTCAAAGGCTTGTCATTGGTGATGGGTATTATTCCTCTTACATGGATGGATTTCAGCAAAAAGGCCATGCAAAAATGATTTAAGAGCATCTGGCTGCCTTCTGCAAATGCCACCCCAGCAAGAGAACAGGGGGTGAGGGAAATGCTTGAAGGTAGTCAATAAATACAAATACACAGCAGGCTTAGCACCCTAGGGGAGAAATTACTGTCCCGGGTACATTTCTCCCCTTGCAGCCATACAGCTGCTGACAGAATGATGAGAATGCTGATGCTGCAGGAGGAATAGCATGAGCCTTGGGAGGAGCCATCCTCGTTTGGTGAAAAAAGAAATAGTCAGTCCAGTGGTCAATAATCTTAAATAAAGGTTGCCAAATTCAAGCCTCCCGAATTCCTGCCTGCATTTTTCCAAGAGCATCAAGGTGGAAGTCAGAGGGAGCTGCTAAGCACACAGCTCTTTGCAAAACAAGCCTGTTAGGAAAGCATGCCCAAAAGGACAGCCAGTAAGTTTAAGCATACCTTTAAGAAAGTGTTTCCTCCTACTACCCCCCACATCATTTCTTATAATCAAGGCACTGTCTGAAAAGAGATGTGCTCCAAGGATTACATCACATGAGCAAAAGCCTCATTTAATATTCCTTCTCTGAAAGGGCAGCCAGACACTGAAAACACTTTGAAAGAGATTAATCTATGGTGAAACACCTACAGAGGTTAATACTGAGAGTCACTTTCAGTGGCTCTCAAGTGATCCTGTTACAAAAACATCCTTAAAATGAAGAAAAAGTCAGGTATTTAAAGCCTTTAAAACATAATTTTCAGTCTCTAGATTCCATAGGCTTTGTGGGGTGCCTTTAAGGATCTGCAAAGGTAAGTTTACTTATTTTCCTTCAGTGTGCATGCAGGTGTCTAAGACCCAACTGGAAAAAAGCCTATAAATTGACAGAGCTTGCAAAGCTTTGCCATGCAATATACGGACACGGGGTGAAGGCATTATTGCACACTGGCAGTACCAGCAGCTGTATTGCCCAGCACAGACCTCATACGCTCCCGAATCATGAGCTAAAGCTGGTATTACTCCTCCTTCAGACAGACTGAGGCTAGGGCAAGTCCAGACTCCCAGGCTGCAGTCAAACCTCCTTGCACCCTGGATGCCCTGGACCCAAGGTTAGATGCAGGTCAAGAGCTCGCAGTTTCTTAAATGACGATACCCTCTAATGGCAAAGAGAAGCCCAGAAAGGGGAGTATTTAGCCAGCTGGTTGTTTTTTTCCCCAGATTTCATTTACAGGGCAATGCCCGGGCACAGCAGCAGCTCTTTGTTGTGATGGCAAAGGCGCTGTGATCCGCAGGAGCTGGCGGAAAGGCCAGGAGCAGGGCTGGGAGCATTGCCGCCTTGTGGTTAGCAGCGAGGAGAGATGGGCTTGCCTTTATTTAAAAACAAGTGAGCAAACTCCTTCGGAGCTCTTGCACGCAGACCCTCCACCAAAGCTGGTTTGGCTCTGGTCATTTATGCAGCATCCCACACAAGAGGCACAGAAAGCGCCTGGGCTTTTGTTTGCACTTTCCCAAGCTAAAAATCAACTGCTGACAGGTTTTAGGAATGGACAGAAAAAAAGTCAAATCGATTTTAGTTGTTCAGGATTTTTTTAACCCTACCTCCTAACTGCAAGGCAAGACCAAACACGAATACACTCTGAAAGACTTGAAACCCACGTCTGCTCTTCCTCAGGCTCACAGTCTGTCTGCATTCAGTAACAGCTTTGCTTTACTAGGTACAAAGCTGAAATTTCCTCCATCACTTAACCTTTGCCCAAGCTTTTCACCTGAGGCTCAACTCCTTATTAGCAGGTCTTTAAAGGGACCCTCTGGCTCGGAGTGAACTCACCCCAACATAATCTCTTCTACAGTGAGCCAAGAAAAGAGGTTGTGAATTATTTTGCTTTTATCATAAATAATCTCTCCCTCTTGTGAACAGACTGGCAGTTGCTGTTAACTCCAGGCCTACTGCACACAGGAGCTGAACCACAGCCTGCAGAAATCAATACCATTGACTCTAATGAGTTCTGAATCATGCTTAGCACTCCTGGAGATACATCCCATTCTTCCAGCAAAGAAAAATATGGATGTCAGTAGATGCATTGACAGTAATGTATGCTAATGAAGGTAATGCAACCTAACAACATGTGAATTATTGATGTAGGCACGTTTAAACAGAAAAATCAGCAAGGAATCACACCAGACCAATACACTCCAGTATTTGTTCACCAACAGGCAATTGGAACGTGGTGGTCCTGAGAACACTCATTACCACTTTATTAGCTTGAAAGGGTTTTTGCTAGGTTATCCGTGTCTCACCTGATCCATGAGTCACTTAAATTTCACATCCTTTGAGACTGTGTGATCTTAATGAGCCATTGTACTAGCATCAAATGAGCTACTTTTACACATCTGTAATTTCCTCTGAGGTTTTCAGACATTTATGATAAATCATACTGCTTTGCTTGAATTAGTTTGCTTAATCTTATTTATCAGTCATAGATAAGGGCTGGTTTAGCCTCTCCTTCACAACAATTCATGGAAGTGTAACTCTCCTGAATGCAGCAAAGTTGCTCCATGAGGCACATGGAGAGTGAAGCTAGCTCCTTTGTCTGGCATAGCTCGGTTCCCAGGATGTCAAGGCAGTTGACTCAGCTCTATCTTAAAATAAACATAGTTTGCCTATCTAGACAGTTTTATCACATCCATCATGTTTTCCTAATGCATTTAAAGAAAGATCATTTTGTACTACACTAAAAACAGGATATATATTCAATAATCATCAGTGTTAATTTTACTCTTATTCCATTATCTCGTGAGATCTAATCATTCTGTCTGTACTTCTGGGTGAGTTGGCTCCATCTCTGTGATATCTGGGAACTACACTGCAGACAGGCTTTGTTTTTGTAAGGACTGTTGGGGCATACAGATTTTTACAGTCTCATCATGTTGTCACCAGGTTATATTGATATGCATCATCACTGCATTGGTACAGACAAAAGATTTCCAGGCACATCCCACATCTAAAAGGTCCCAGGCACCAAACCTCAGCCAGTCACCGATGCCCATGTCTGGGCATTTTAGTGCTACATTCAGTTCTGAGACTGTTGAATGGGCAGGGGAGAGAGAGCTACCCCCCCCTGAGCCAATCCGGGAAATGAATCCCTGGATTGCTCCACTGCTGCCCCGGGCCTGGGGGAACACAGCCGCTCTCTCCAGAGAAATCAGCATCCTCAGTGCCCAAACAAGCTTTGCAGAGCCATGGAGAAAACAAACCTTAACTGAGATAATTAAAATAGCTGCTTATTTCAGAAGGGTTATCGCATTACTTGCAATGCAGGCAATTAATCTCACTGATAATGCATTGTAAACTGCCTCTCACTTTCCCCAGTGCTAACAAGAGAAACACACTAAGCTTTCTCCAGTTGTATTTCATGAATGGGTGGGGGTGAATATCTGGGGGGGAGGATGGACTGGTGAGGAGGGAAGGAGTCGGGGGACAGCTGCGTGTTTATTTGCCATGTTAAAACAGATAAACACACTATGAAAGATAACCCCTTTTTATTTATTGAATAAACACGATGCCACTGTTCATAATCAAAGAGCAGTAAGTCACCGAGGCAGTGAAAGCCAAGGGGAATGTACGTGTGCATAATCATGCAGGAGCACCGGCTGATTTTGTTTTACCTTTTCCGGAGCCGGGAACTGCAGGTGGTTTACTTCCAAAGGTGTGATCAAAGGAACTGTCTGAAAACCATCTTCATTGGATGGTTGTTTGCTGTTCTTGTCGTTCAAATTACTCCCCAGCTTCACCATTCTTGGACCTTGCTTTCCAGACCTAAAACCAGCAAGATGATCAATGTCACAGGGGGAGCGGGAAGAGGAGGATTCCTGCCTCACCCTGCTCAGTTCGACTTGGCGTAGTGGTTACTGGGGCTTTTCTGCCTGGGTGTCTGGACACACCACAAACACACCACGACTCCACACATGCATTTTGACGTGCCTTATGCAGACACCCTACCAACACCGACACCCTTAAAGCCCACATCGGGTCCCCAAGCTGCTCCCAACACACCCACACGGCCAACAGCATCCCCCAAACATCCATGGGGAAGGGGAATGTCCCCCGCTGGTCCCACGGCTGCTATTGACCCCCGCCCCCCCATTCTATATGCAGCCCCCTGAGGGCGCACAGCCCCTACCGTGCCAGCCCCACACCCGCAGCTTGAGTCCCCTGCTCCCAGCTCCGCAGGGTGGATGTTGGGGGGGCGGAATGCGGGCACCCCACCGCGCCTCTCCCGCTCCCCTACTTACTGCAAACCACGCGGTC